GAGAAATCTGCGCTCCTCCCCTAGCGCCAACGCCAAAACAAACTGTTTTAAGTCCTGCTTCTGCTCACCCTACGAGGAATCCCTGGGTGGACCGAAAGTCCAGTGGTGATCCGCTGCCCTCTCCACACCACGCCCCCACGCAACTGGCAACGCAAAGTTGCGCCTCGCCGTTTCACAGCGATTTGCAGTGCAGTATCGAGAGTAGGCTCAGGTTTACAGCCTGAAAATGGTGGAGCAAATGCTTTAATCTGCTTTGAATTTTAGATGGCGTTTCGCCCCTCGTCGTGAGCCCAGGAGCCGAAGCCCTTGCGGCGGCCCCGAAAAGCTGCAAAATTCTTCAAGTTGGCGGCCGCCACTGCACTCGCATGTCGAACAGAGTAATTTGCCTCTTGTGCCCTATGCGAGTACTCAATAATATCAAAAATCCAAACAGGGTGTAGCTGCCAAGACCAGCGTAAAGGCTAGAGGAGCCGCGGCCTTTGCACTTACTACACCAAAAACACTTTCCCAAGTTCGTCGCTCAGTGGGCAAGTTGCCTGCAACTAAAGGGCGTCAGTGCTTTCGGGACTGCGATGTAAAGGAGATTCCCTGCTGCCCTATAGCACGCATTTTGCAAGTATGCAGATGACCCCTCGACAGCCATTTGTGATTCAGCCAGATTGTATATGCCCTCCACAGCCCCACGTGTAGACGCGACTCGCTGCGGATTTCTACGAAGGTCAGCACAGACGAATAGCAAAGGAGGGCGGAACGGATCTGGTGCACTGGGAGGCGTGTGTGCATGCATGCGGGTTGCAGTGCGCGTTGAGTAATCCAAACTTGGTGACATCTGTATTATTTTATTGACTAAAGGATTACTCGCAGCACGTAGACAAGAGCATGATGCGAACGTAGATGCCGACTCGGCGATAGAGGTTACGCGACGCAGGTCAGCAGAGCTTTTCTTTCGCGGCCTGCAACAGTTCTCTTCTTGCCCGCTCCCCTACCAACTCGGGCTTCCCAGAAAAAACATCTACGACTAGACGCCGCAGCTGTTGCCGTACTGCTGGATTAGAGCTTAGGGGGTGGTCTTGAATGACCATCTGTAGTATCAACTCATGAGCGTCATAGATTTCTTGCTCATCCTCCACAAGAGGGAACCTGTAAACAGACGAAATCCGCGCAAATGGCTTAGCGGGAGCAACCAGCAACCGGCAATTCCTACTGAAAAAACCTAAGCTGAGCTGCAAGTTAAGTGATACTTCTATTTACCATGTTTCTAACAGTGCCGCTGCTTTTGCAGCAGCCGCTTCCATTCCCAAATTCATACAAAAGCCTGCATAGACCTTCAGAAGAGCGCATGCATTCCCATCAGCTGCCGCTCTGCCGCTCTGAGACCTCAACAACGGGCTTGAAATGCACCGTTCCAGGGTTTCCAGCGGCCCATTGATCTGCGAGGCAAACAGCTCAGGGTGTCGCTGCGCCACAACGCCTGCATGCAAAGAAAGCACAGGAAAACCCCTCTGCCAAATGCAGCTCCAAGAACGACCAATTATCTTTTTGAATATGAATACCGTCCAAGATGCTTTTCCAGCGTGCAACGTGGAAATGGAGCTGAATNAATTATCTTTTTGAATATGAATACCGTCCAAGATGCTTTTCCAGCGTGCAACGTGGAAATGGAGCTGAATCACCCAACTAAGACGACAGACGAGACGTGCAACTGTTTCGTATGGAATGTTTCACGCCATGTCGCAACCACAGCGTATTAATAGCATCCCTGCGGAGCAAATATCTTTCAAAACACGAAACGCGAATTTACACTGCAGTTCATGGACACATGAGGCGCCAAGGCTCGTGTGGCGCTCCATCCCTTAACGTAATGTTTCCTGGGAGAATATTACCTACCCAGTCCATATGATGCTGCTGAAATAGCTAGCATGTGCTCCTCATCAATAGACCATTCTGCTTGGGGGCTCACGGAGAGCAGCGCCGCGGGAACCAACACTTTGCTGTACTCTAACGTGGCCGCCGGATCTCCGTAGTTGATCGCATCAGCGTAGAGGCACAGAGCTGCAACCTGTGGAAAGCGAAGTGAAAAGCGGAGTTGTCGCCTCTTCCATGCGAGCAACTGCTGCCGACAGCGCGATGTTTTGGCTGCTAATCCAACTGGTGACGAGTCCGGTACATGCCAGCATTTTAGCCGGGAGAAAAGGACGCTGCAACAGCTCGTTTCATTTGTGTGCAATATAATTCACCTTTCCATAGTAGCTTGACTGGTCATGTGCCAGCAGCGCCCCATATGGCAGACGCAAATGTGCGTCAAAATGCGGCAAGCATTCCGACCCGTACACCTGCAGGATACAAAAGAGCGTGCATGCTCAAGGCATACTACACGCAATTCGAGAGTAGCCTTCAGTGCGTGTGTGTGACATATTCCCTTCCTGCTCCTGCTTCAGTCTGAACGTGTANTTCGAGAGTAGCCTTCAGTGCGTGTGTGTGACATATTCCCTTCCTGCTCCTGCTTCAGTCTGAACGTGTAGAACGCATGAGGGTTCAGGGATGCACACAACTGTGATGGCCTCTAATGCACAGTTAATTCCGGCTGTGCTTAAATACGCCTCCTACTGAAACTGTTAAGTAACATCAAGCGGCTAATCTGAACTTTGCGTGAATACCTTGAAAAAGTTGCCGGAGCATTGCATGACGGCGTCATAGAAGGAGCTGGAGTCCTCATCATGTTCATCGTCACTAACATCCTGAAAAGCAAGCCAGTTCGCATTGAGTGAAGCACCGTTTTCTACGTTTGTTTCGGTCGCAGAACACGGTAAGCGGATATAGACGTTCCACAGTCCTCACCTCCCATTCATCGTCCTGCTGTTCCTTAGTAGCTAGACGTTCAAACTCCCAAGTCAAGACCCTGCGACCGCATAATGCACACGGTACATTTAGACAAGCAACTCAACAAGCAGAAGCAGAGATTAGCATTAGCTTGTATTTTCCTGCGCCATCACCGCTGCTACTACAGACGCCTTTGAACGCCCCCCAGGTGCTATCACTGTGAGATCCAACTCAAGGCACTACAGCCACTATATGCAGGTTGTATGCTGACTAGGTGTAAGGTGGACAAATCTCCAAGACCCTAGGTAGTTGCTCGTCACTTCTTGCACGGCGGGCGCGGCAGGTTGCAGAACTTACGGAAGTATAAGCTTGCCCATGCCGATGAAGAGCTTCTCAAGCAGAGCCGCCCTCTGGGCCGGAGGAATCTTACACTCCTCTGGCAGCAAGCCTTCCCTCTGTCGTTTCGCCTGGTCGGATACGATCTGGGCGACTGCTGGAAGAATGCGTTCTGCTGCAGCAGCGGCCGTCGAGGGGGGCAGTTGGCCCTCATTGCTTGACAAGAAAGAAGCAACAAGCTCCAAGGCAGCTGTCGTTGCCTTCCCTTGCTGCTCTGGCGAGGATCCTAGAGCCGTCAGACAGCCCGGAAGCGCCTGCATGAG